CATGGACGCCAGCGTGGAAGAAGGAGATTGGATCATGTGATGGATTGTGGGTGTGGGGACAAGATCATGAACCTTTAAAAAGAACGCATGTGCAAGGAAGGAAGATGTCTGCCTGAGCTCTGCCGCTCAGGTTCCAAGAGGAAAAATGGCCAAAAAGAAACGGAGCCAAGGTTCAGGAATCGAATTGAGGTGAAAGTAAGGCAAGAGCAATATAAGGGGGATCTGGAGAAGCAGCTAACGGAAGAAACATTGCTTTATGAAAATTGCTGCTCTCAGAAGATGCCGACCCTGTCGCCATTCCACCTACTCCGGCCGCCATGGCTTGGCCGACCGCCATTCCACCTATTCTGGCCACCGCAGCCCGGCCCTGTCGCTCTGGGGGAGCCGCCGACCCTGCCGCCATTCCACCTGCTCCGGACGCCGCAACCGTTATTCTGCCTACTCCAGCCGCCGCGACCTGGCCCTGCTGCTTCAGGGGAGCCGCTGACCCTGCTGCCATTTCCACCTACTTTGGCCACCGCGACCGACGTTCCATCTCCTCTGACCGCCGCGGCCTGGCCCTGCTGCTTCAGGGGAGCCGCCGACCCTGCCGCCATTCCACCTGCTCCGACCGCCGCAACTGCCATTCCATCTACTCGGCTGCCGCGACCTTGCCCTGCTGCTTCAGGGGGACCGCCGACCCTGCCGCCATTCCACCTATTCCGACCGCCGCGACCGCTATTCCACCTACTCGGCCGCCGCGGCCTGGCCCTGCTGCTTCAGGGGGGCCGCCGACCCTGCTGCCATTCCACCTATTCTGGGTGCCGCGACCGCTATTCCATCTGTCCCAGCCGCAGCGGCGGGTCCTGCGTTGTCGGGGGAGTCGCTGTGTCTGTGCCGCCGTGCCTGCCCTGTTGCCCGTGGAGCCGGTGAGTTCTGTACCGGTGTGGCCTCGAGACCGGGCGGCTGGTCCCCTCTGCCACCGTCATTACTGTCCTGGACGCAGCTCCCCGTCCCTCCCTCCCCCTTCTTCAGCCTCGGCTTTTGGATATTGCCGCCGCTGGGCGTCCTGAGCGTTGTGGGGCCTTTTCTCCCTGTCGCCCCGCAGAGAGAGAACAAGGATGAAGAGAATGGGGAGCCTGCTCTTTCCAACTAGCGCCAACTCTCCCAGTCGCCTCAGGCTTTTTTACACCACTTTCAGATTATGCGGGAGAAAAGAACGAGGAACCCCTCCCTACCTACCTATTACCGGCCCCAGCTGCCTCAGACTTGCACTGACCGCCTCTGTTTTCGTGCATTAAAAACTGCGTTCTTAACTAGTGTGTTGAGTGTATGATGGTACGATTGTGAGAGAGAATGCGCCCACTTTTTAATTTAATTAATTTTATATCACTGTATTGTATTTTTAACGATTATTGTGGGGTATGACTGAGTAGAATGTTTGTTTAGTGAGTATGATAGGACTGGGGGTGCGACCTGGAGCCCCCTCCACTGAGTGCAGAAGCAGAAGTGGATGGGGGCCCAGATCCGCCCCCTGCCCTAGAGTGAATGGTGTGTGTGGCCTGCTGGGAAGAATGGAGGCCATGGGAGAGGGAGGGGGTCTATGGGGGGGAG